CCAATATCACCACCATATTTCAAATTACCAATTGATGGTAGTGGTAAAGGACCTGGTAATTTATTTGAACGTTTAAAATATTTCACATAAAAATTTATCACATAACCAATGGCAAATAATAAGCTTGATAAAATTAAGTTTTGGAATGAAAAAGTCGACATAACTCGAATTTAATATATGTATATATTTTTCTTGATGGGTTTTTAAGGATAATAGAAAGAAAGTTATCTTCACCTCTACAATATATATATATGTGTATACTTATTTATTTATTTATTAATGTTCTCATTGATTTTCTTTCTTTGTTTAATCATCTTTCATCTATACTCTCGAGTTCTTTGGTATAAAAATACAGCAAGAACTGCAAAGCTGCGTATAATAATAAACAAGGTAATGACTTTCTTTTGTCATGGTGATAATGATTATAATTATAAACAAGAGTTTTCTTGGATTCTTTTTTAAACAAAATAATTATAGCCATACCTCCATATAAGAATATCATGTAAATCTCTTTATATTTTGGAACAAATTCTATTAAGCTTATAAAAAAATGTTTCATCCAAGAACAAAAGAAAAATACGAAAAAGGTCGTTAAAGAGGATTATAATATATTAATAAACGCGGTCGTGGCGTTATTGATTTGAATTCCTTTATATATATATATGAAAAAGAGACAGGAGTGATGGAAAAAGATAGAAAAGAACCCTGAACTTTGATGATTTTCAGTATATTGGTTATTAATAATCTTTTAAGTTATATATATATATATAAGTAAATACACGAAAAAATTTAAATGAAAAGTCATATTATGGTACACTTTATGAATGAATAATATACACACGCGCATGCAAAAGATCGATGTATCAGATCATATGAAATTTTCATAACTTCGGAAATTGAAATCTAAATTTGGGAATAGCAATTGATGACTAGTAATATAAATATATAAATACAAGTAAATTTTTTTTAATAAATTTCTTAAGCGAAGTTTTATTCTTTTGGGGTTTTTTTTTCTTTAAAGAAAAGAGCTTAGAGGAAAACAAAATAATTATTTTCACTGTTTTTTTTTTTTTTTTTGTTGACAAAAATAATTAATATAATCAATAACGAACGTATTCATTTATATTATCAATTCACAAAATCTATAAACTATCCCTCAAGCTCTTTTCTATTAATGAAAAATAATCCATTTATTATTATATTAACGAAATGGAAAGTATGGAAGAAAATCAAGGATTAAAACTTGTTGACGATACTTCTCGCAGTACGAATATTCCTAACAATGACGAAAAAACCAACAATGATGATGATAACAATAAGCTTGGAATTGAAGATAATAACAAGCTTGAGGATATCCAAATTAAAGCCAATGAAGAAGAATCAATCGCATTCAAATTACAATTTGATGGTAACTTCATTAATTTAATTCAGATTATTCTTTTTCATTCTTCATATTTCACAAATTAAACTTATTTATTCTGGTTTGATAGAAATTTTAATTGCCGCAAAATTGTTAGAAAATGCTAAATCAAATAACAATAATCGTTATTATAATTCGCACGCAAAGACAAATTCTTTATCTTTATTAAATAATAGAAGAATATCTGGTAAATATTTATTCTGTTTATTTAGATGCAATAAAGTGATATTTATAATATTCATAACATTCATAATACTCACGAATCATAAATTTACCCAATGAACTTAGAAATTGAAAATTCATATTTCACACATCAAAAATCTTATACTTACCAATCATCATTAAAATATCATAATTATCATAATCAAGCAAAACACAAACGTAACAATTCTTCAATTCCAAAATTAAATCTTAACGGAATCAGCAACAATTCATATTATCCAACAACAACAAACAGAAATGTTAAACTGAATCCTTTGTCATCAACTCCATATGTTAGTTATGATGTATTTGATGAATTGAGCTTTGATGATGCATTTGGTTTAAAATCTTCTTTAAAAGAATTTGATTATAAATTTAATAATAATAGACATGGTAATTATATTATATTATATCTTTTTCCTTAGGAATAAATATCTTTATTATTCAATAATATTAATTTAATTATAAAAATAGATTCAGATTGGGATTCATTATCCAGTGGTCAAGGATATCCACCACTTACCCCGTCTTCAATTCATTCCTCATCCTCCTCATTTTCTCCGAGTTTGTCGCCTTACTACCCTTCGACAAAATCAAGTTATCATCAACATCATCAAACAGCAAAAAAAAAAAAAATTAGAAAAAACACAAAAGTTGCCTCCATCACTAAAAGATTGAAGAGTATAGAATCAAGATTATTT